GCTGGCTCCTTTGTATTCTGAGCTCGGCTCAAACATCGCCTCCCAAAAGAGGCCTTCTGCAGGGTCCCACCTAGAACAGCTACCCCCACCCTTTGGTCTCCAATTTATCTCCTTCCTGTGGGCTACACAATTTAGCAAGCTACAGTCCACAGGCCTAGCCCACTGTTTGTTTTTATACAATCCAAACCAAAAGAACCAAACCCACTACCACTGAATAGATTCTGACTCATGGCAAGCCTCATTGGGTTTCAAAGGCAATAAGTAAATCTTAGTGGAAGTAGATCTCCCCATCTTACTTCTGAGGAGTGGCTGGTGGGTTTGAACTGCTAACCTTCTCGTTGGCAGTCAGATAGATGCCTTAGGCACTGAGCCACCAGAGCTCCTTAGGTGCATATATTTTTAACGGTTGAATTAAAAAAAAAAAAAAAAAATCAAGACTATTTGGTGACATGTGAAAATCAAATGAAATTCAAATTTCATTAACAATGTATTGGAACACCCCTGTGACCCAACTTTTACCCAAAGGATAGGTCTCTACAGTGAGCAATACCATAAGGGAGGGATGCCCTCCTTAGAACAATTAGCCATTCCAGACGTAAAGGGCAGCACTGCCCAGGGGCAAAGTTCAGAAGGCAGCAGGGCTTCAAAAAGCACAAAACGGAAAGGGAAATACAGGAGCAAGTAGGTGAGTGGTGTTTGTTAACACTGTGGGGACTGCCATCAATGGCATGAAATAAAACGTGTATGGACTATTGAATGGAAAACTGATGGGCTCTGTAAAATTTCACCCAAAACACAATAAAAAGTTTAAAAAATAAAGATTATCTCAGGGTAACAAAAATTACATGAAATTTTATTGGAACTCAGCTACGTGCGTTTGTTTATATATTTGTGTGTTTAGTGGACTTCATAGGTCCAGGAAGTCCCTCTCTCAATTGGTAACATTTAATACTGCAAAACACCACGTACATCAGAGGCAAGCCATTGAGACCACATGGCCCACAAAACCGCAAATATTCACTATCTGGCCCTTTATGGAAAAAGTGTGCCAACTCCTGCCTCCACAGCACGTAAAGCTGCATTAAATTATCTTGTTTATATAATTTTTGAATCTTGCACATGGCCTGTCTCTCCACAAAGAATGCAACGTCCACAAGCGCAGGGGTCATGGCCCCATAGCTCACCACTGTGCCCCCAGCAGCTGAGACCCCACTGGGTACATCCGTCCTGGAAGGGCAGCTGGAATGCTCCTTGGAGGCGAGAATGGTCAGACTTTGTCTCACCTGCTTTGGCCGTGTTGTCATAAGAGACCCCTCCCTGGAAAAGGATATTATGCTTGGTAAAGTGGAGGGTCAGCGAAGGGAAAGACCCTTCAATGAGATGAATGAGGTGGACTGACACAATGGCTGCCATGATGGGCTCAGGTGTAGCAAGGACTGTGAGGCTCGTGCAGGAGCCGGCAGGGTTTCCTTCTGTTGTCCGCAGGGTCGCTGTGAGTCAGAGCTGACTCGATGGCACCTAACAGCATGGTTATTGCTGTCCACCGAGTTGGCCCGATTCGTGGTGACCCTGTGCACCGGGAACACTGCCCAACACTACACCACCCCCATGATCACTTGAGTCTCATACCGTTGTGGCGCACAGTCCTCGTTGTCTTTTGGTAGATCTCCAGGCCTTTCTTCCTGGTCTGTCTCAGCCTGGAAGCTCTGCTGAAGCCTCTTCAGCATCATAGCATCGCTCGAGCCCCTACTGACATAGAAATACGAGAGCGGTAACTGCACGAGGGGTGGTGGCTGGGTTAAATCCGAGTCCTCCGTGTGGGAGTGAGAATTCCACCACTGGACCACCACTCCCTCCAGCACACAGTGGTCCTCTAGAAACTTGACTGACTGATTGCTGCCCCCCGCAGAATGCAAGCTCCATGACATCAGGACCTCGAGCTCCCTGCAGTGTCCTCAGAGCCGCCACAGTGCCCAACACGTGGTAGTCTCTGTTGTTAGGTGCTGAAGAGGGGATTCTCAACTCGTTGTGACCTCGTGTGAGAGAACAGAACCACCCCCTAGGGTTGTCTAGGCTGTAATCTTTACAGAAAGCAGGTCGTTAGGTCTTTTTCCCATGGAGCTACTGGATGGGTTCGAACGGCCAACCTTTCAGTTAGCTGCCCAGTGCTCAACCATTGTGCCACCAAGGCTCCTTAGATATGTGTTAAGTGCCCACAAGTCAGTTTTGATTCATAGCAATTCCATGTGCAACGGAACAGAACGCTGCCCCGGCCTGTGCCATTCTCACAATTGTTGCTATGCTTGAGCCTACAGCTGCCACAACGGTGTCAACTCATCTCATTGAAGGTCTTCCCCTTTTTCGCTGACCCTCCATCTTGGCGAGCATGATGGGCCTCTCCAGGGATGGCCCCTCCTGATACCATGGCCCAAGTACGACCACAGTCGTAAGCAGCAGGCACTTAACGAGTATCTGTATTATTCCCATTCTTCCAGCTCCGTTGTGGGCCACGTCGTCTCGCTACTGAGCAGGAAGGCGCTCACAGGGTGGATCTTTATGAGGAACCAGTGGAATCCAAAGGGGACCCTGCTACCCAATAAACCAAACTAAGTATCCTCACCCACCGGAGACCACAGCTTCCTTCTGCCACCCTGCCCCCTTCAGCCAGGCTGAGCCGTGGAACCAGTAACGCTTGGGCACAGCCCTGGCTCATGATGACCACTCAGTTCCTGCCAGCTCGTCTGCCCCTTGGTCACCAATGGACAATAACCACCCCCTTCCATCCCACATCTCTGTCAATAAATTCCAAGGATCCAGCCATAAAGAAATGCATCTGATATATGTGGTGACATGGAGGAACCCTGAAAACATGCTGAATGACATTAAGTCAGATTCAAAACGACGCACACTTTCTGATTCCACTTACATGAAGTACCTAGAACAGAAAATGCATGAAGACAAAAGGACTACCAGGGACTGGGGGACTCACTGGTTAGGGACTCAGGTTTCTGTTTGGAGGACAAAATTTTTTTTCCCAGAAATGGATAGTAGTTATTGTTGAACAGGATGGTGCGTGTGACTGATGTCACCGAATTGGAACTTAAGACTGGTTGAAACAGCAAATACCATGTGATATTTTAGCACAATTAAAAAAAAATCTTCTGGTGTTTTCCCACGGGCAACAAACAGAAAGGACCAGCACAGTGCCTGGCAGGTATTTTAATCACTTTCGAGTAACTGAAAATAAAAAATTAACCCCAAGGAACTGGACTTCCCAGGCCAGCGCCCACGGAGGCTTCACTTGACACAGTACACCCACCTGTGTGTGTGTGGTGCGGGGAAGAGACAGGCAAGGTGGCTGGCCTCTCATGACGTCCCCTCTCATGTGTCTGCTGGTGCCAACCTCACACGGCCATCCTGGCCCAATGGAAAACGGAAAACTTCAAGTCTGAGGGAGACCAAGCCATTTTTCCAAAACAGTTTAATTTTTTTTTAAAAAAAGATGAAGGATCTGAAAAAATCGGGGGGACCCCAAAAGAGCAGATGGGGGGAGTGCACTGCCTCAGTCACAAAGAAACACTGTCATCAAAAAAGATATTTAAGTTTAATACAAATTTTATACAAAGAAAATGTGAAAAAATACTTCCATATGCTAAAAGCAATTATGCTTCACAAATAAGGCCAGCTAGGCTATTTTTTTTTTTTTTTTTTGACAACTGCAATTCACAAATGTTCTTTTTCTCTTGTTTTCTTCTAATACTCTCTTTTTATTTCTTCTCTAATATGGGTAACTAGCTGGAAACTGTACAGTTCTCATCCTCTTATCAACAATGAAGAGAAAGTAAACAAGACTGAAATGTACAACAAAATGTACTGGAGTGATATCGTACAATTAATTTTCTCATATACATACATCACCTTTTGCTTTGTTCAATGTTTTCTGCTTTACACAACATACAACATGGTAGTAGAACACACGTAGTGTCACAGACAGCATGGCGGAGTCTTGCTTTTCTTTCACACTGCCTCGGTTTCATGCTGACATAAAAACGTAAAATTCCATATAAATAAAACATACATGCTTCATCCTAGACGCGAATGCCCTTTGCATGCCCTGCCTGCGAGCCCTTGCTTCCGAGAAGGGCAGCAACTCTTATGAATGTGTGTGAGTGGGCTGAAAGGAACCACAAAGCAAAGCAAAGATTTCTCTTTGTTACATCACTTATGACCCTAACACTTGCTACTTTCTTCTATGCAACTGAGCTGAGCGGGGCTGATCTGTTTCTCTTCTGTAAACAAGGATTTGTTTCTTCTGCCCTTTGAGTAGAGTCATTGTTTAAATCACACAAAAGGAACTAACTTTTCCACACCTCCTTCCCCTTCTGGTCTGGAGAACTCGAATCCCACGGAATTGTTAACACAGGAGATGAAAGGGGCCCGTGGCCGGGTGGGATGTGCCCACAAGAGCAGCCTGTGCTGAAATTCCTGATCCCAGTGTGCTGTGTGCAGAAACACCAACCAAACGTCACTTCCTCCGAGCCCCTCAGGAAGGGCAGCTGTGGGCCACAGCAACCCCCGGCCTAGCATTCCATGTACGTGATGACAGACATAGGCAGACCGATCATCCTTTCTCCAACATCAAAACATTCTATTTGTTGTTGGTTTTTTTTTTTTTAATTGTTTTTCTTTTTATAAGTTAAAGTCAGTACAAATATAAAAAGGGGAAGGTCCTCTAGGTTCAATGACATCCACAAATTGTACATTATTTACATCTAAAGCATAGGTTTCCTGTGGGTTGAACAGTCTCAAGTCAAAGGTAATGCTGGACACCATGTAGTGTGGGCTGTCCTCTGTGTGGACAGCAGAGTCTGAACGTTTGGAATTCTTAAGTCTGAAGGGGGGTGTTCTTACGTCTGCCATTGCTTTTCTGTTTCCTGTTTTGCGCTGGAGTCTGTTGGCTTTTATTCTGAATGCTGTAGGTGGTTCGTCGCAACTTGTCCCTAGTCCCAGAAGGTGTCCAGTCGAGACTCTTTTGGGATGAGACTCTTCGTGCTGCCGCTGGCACTGTGCTCGGAACGTGCCGACCCCCGCTTCTCCTCGCTGCTGCCCCAGCAACTGGCCTTGCTACTCCGGGAATGGTCTGGAGAGGAGAGCCGACAAGGAGGAGGTTAGCCTTCTCTCCCACCTCCACTGAAGCCCAGCCCACCCTCCACTCAACCTAAACCTGCTCTCTGGGAGGCCACCTTCCCCTCCCGGCTCCAATCGACACCGACGGTTAAAATCCTAACTGCCACCATTTACGTCCCTACATGTGTGGTTCTGTAGGGTACAACAACTCAATTTCCTCAGGATTGAGTAAGAACTGGTTGGAAAGCTAGAGAATGTCATGCTCACAAAGAATAAGAATGAGAAAGGTCCCAAAGCGCCAAGGAAGGCCTTTCTTTTGTGGTACTTTGAAACGTGTATCCGTATTACATGACTGAACACCACCAAGTGGTGTCCTCCAGGAACTTCTCTGTGCAACCCTGATCACTGGAGAAAGGCATCAAAATTTGGCATTCAATCTACTTCTTTACATTAATGGAGTTTCTATACTTCATTTATTGGCAACTCATGAAATGGACTTTTGACCAAATCCCACTTGTCCACCCAAGGGAGAAGGTCATAAAAGAGAAGGAACGTGGGCCAGGGTAGTTAAGTCCACGTGGAAACACAGATCATTGACTCCTAGTTAGGAAAAGCTTAAGGTCACTGAAGGATGCAGAAGCAGAGTAAGACCCAAGATGGCTTCAAGGACCAAAACAGGCAGCTGAGTAAGAAATAAAGAAGTTGAAGAAGAGTCGATGAGGTACCTATAAAGAGCACATCAACTGCAGGAGAGCCTGGGCCCACAGGCCGAGCAGGATGGCTGACTCGGGGAGACCCACCAACAAACCATGAAGGTCCCATCAGATGACATATCAAATTCAGACAAGTGAGAAGAAAAAAAATCTACTTTTTTAAAATTTCATGAGGTAGGGGTGGTAACATTCGACTAAAAGAAGTCCCACAGCAACCTTAGAGACAGATGTAGTGGGGATCACAGGAAAGTAGGGGACTCCATTTCTTATCATCTAGTAAAAAGGCAAGTGTCTTTAGCCTCGACTTCTTCTGGAAGACAAGTTGTGCAGAGAATGATAAAGACAGCCCAAGGCATGTATTCAGGCAGCGCAGAACACTCTTTGGTTACTGCTATCAATGACCAAAGAGTGAGCGGTGTTATCTGGTAGGCAGGGCGGGGGGCGAGGGCTGAGAGGCCCTTATCACAGGTCACACTGTGTCCTCTTCATAACCTGAACCCTCCCTCTCACATGTCCCCCCCAGTCTGTGATGCCTGTACCTTGAGTTCTTCTGGAAAGTCTCTGTGGCATGGTCATCACCATGCATGAGAACATCCCACAACAATGCAGTCAAACCACATCAGTGCACCCAGCTCTGGTGAAGGCAGAGACCAGCTGGGCATTAGGAGGGATGGGAGCAGGGTGGAGCCCAGGCCACCTGCTTCACAGTCAGGCCAGCCAGCCAATGACCTGCAGGCCTTACTGCTCACATGAACAGCAGACAGGGCAGGTCCATAGGACCAATCACTGCAGGGGAGAATCGAGGTTAACCTAGGACCCTTAAGGAAAAGGCTAAGGATGATTCTCCCCAAAAAACCAAACCATAAGGTCCTTATTTACGGAGGCCACCAGAGGCACAATAGAGAAAAGACATAGCAAGACTCATCACTCCAAAGAACAAAAGACACACCCACAAAGACACACCCACAAAGACACACACACACACACACCCCTTTTGCACGCCAGGAAAAAGCTCCTGGCAGCTTCTGTCAAACAGGGTCGTACTTACACTTCTGGGCTGGGTAGTTGGGGTGCGGCTGGTGGTCTGTGATGGTTGGGGTATAGGCAGGCTGCTTGTCACACCTGTTGCTAACTGCAGAGATAGCACAGGGAGCCTTAGAGTCTGTCAGAGTGCTCAAATCCACACAACCCCAAGAGCGCACTATTTTTGTTCGTCAAGCAAAACCAACCAAACCCATTCTTGTCGAGTTGATTCTGACTCATAATGGCCCTACAGGATAGCACAGAACTGCCCCCTAAGGTTTCCAAGGCTATAACTCTTTATGGAAGCAGACTGCCTCATCACCCCCCAAGTGGGCTGGTGGACTCTAACCACTGCCTTTCGGTTCGCAGCTGAGCACTTAACGACTGTACCACCAGGGCTCCTCGGAGGCTACTGTTACTAGGTACTCTCTAACTTAATGAATTCACAGGAGGCGAGTGCCTTTTTGAAAAATACACATCAAGTCATGAAACAGGACGACCTAACACACAGCTTGGCGTTATAGGTAAAAAATGAGTACTTTAAAGACATAAAAGCAACTCAGCACTTTGTAAGCCACAAGTTCTCAGGATTTCAAAAACAAAATTCTTGGAACCACTTGCTCTGCCAATAGTGTAAGTGAATCAGGAAAAACAGAGGAGTGAGAATCACACTAAGGTTCAGGGAGAAACCCAAGTGATCCAGAGACTACAGGGCAATGGCCCACCTACTGCCGAGGGGGACGCCAGCGTGCGGAGGAGAGGGTGAAGGAGGAGCAGGTGGGCTCAAGAGGAGGCCACAGACCGGTGTCAAGAGGGCTAGTCCTCACCCACAACAACAGGACACTAAAACAAGGAAACCTGACCCAGAAGAGTCAACAAAAAAACAGTGACATGAAATGGGTTTCCAGGAAAACACTTGATGTGGTGGAAGGGCTTGGCAGGGAAGTAACTGAAGACATGACAAAGGGGGAAGGAACAAGCTCCAGGAAGAAGGCTGAACAGGAACGGAAATGTCACAGTGCACTCACTATTTGACTCTGCAGCCAACAGCACGGTCATAATAACGCAAACAAGAATTACTGCCAGTTCAAATTTCTAGACTCAGTCAATGGGCTAAAGTGGGAAGACTTAATTGCAATTGCAAAACAATGTACATATGCTCGATCTTAAGGATGGGAAAGTAATAGTGGAGATGATGAGAGATTTGGATATGACAGTGGTAAGAGGAGGAGGGAAGACCGTAGCTGCCAAAGAGGAGTCCTACAGCTGATACAACAAGAACTAAAGCATTAAGTGTTTACTGGACCAATAAAAACCAGGTGCCAGAGGGTCAACCCCAACTCATGGCAACTCCATGTGTGTTCAGAACTTCATTCCTTGGGGATTTCAATGCCTAATTTTTTGGCAGTAGATCCCAAGGCTCTTCTTCTAAGGTGCCTCTGGGGGGACTCGAATTTCCAACCTCTCAATAGCAGCCGAGAGCATTAACCATCTGTGCCAATCCGGGACTCCATTTACAATACTGGCATTAAGTAGCGTGGGAGAAGAGATCACAAGGAGTTCGACCCTCATCCTTTAAAGCCAGAAGTCAACAAATAACATCTAAAGATAATATGTATTGTTGTTGTTATGTGCCACTGAGCCGGACCTGACTCCTAGCGAACCCTCCTGGAGTTTCCGAGGCAGTATCACTATGGAAGTAGATTGCCCAACCTTCCTTCTGAGGAGTCGCTGGTGGGTTTGAACCGCCAGCCTTCTGGTTAGCAGTCAAGTGGAAGTAAATTATTTAGAAATAAGGAGACAAATACCAGAAGAACCAAAACACAGACACTGGGATTAGGAATTGTTTTGTTTTGTGAATTATTTCCTCTAACAAAATATATGTATTGCTCTGATTAAAATCTTAAAATACAGGCCCACACCCACACACCAAGTAAGCTCATTTCCCTATAAAAACTGTCTCTCTCCCTCCCAACTAGACCCCTAACTGTACCATCTTGGTTGGTATCAGATGCTTATAAATAATTCAGAAACCCAAATGTTTTGAAAACCCACCTTCCTCTAGTATATTTCATCTGTATGAAACAAGAGACAGCAGAAGTTAAGTGACAAATGATGACATGCAACACATCCATCAGCACAAACAGCTTTGGTGAGAAATAGGGGGAAAGTCAGCAAGCTTAAGCATTTTTAATTCTTATGTTGTTCTCAGGCCTGTCTCGCCGACGAGCCCACGTCAGTTAGAATCAGAGAACTTCCGTGTCAAAAAGAATCTTCTCTACAAGTCTTGAGTGAAGACAGACGTGGACCCAGAACTACACCAAGGACAGGTCCGCTACATGTACTGCTTGCAAAGAGGCCACACGGGAAGCATACCAGGCAAGCGGGAGCCTGTGGACCTCGCTGTGAGAAACTGGAGGAAGAGGGCTGTTTTCACTCACTACCACAGTGCTCTCTGGCAGTGTCAGCAGGAAAAGCAAGCAGGGAGCTCCTTCCGGACAACAGCCCATGGACAGATACAGCCCGAAGCCTGGTTTGTCAATCAAGTTTTATTGGAACACAGCCACACCCCTTGTTTACATAGTCTGTGAGGTAAAGTGGGTGGCTTTCGGACCACAACAGCAAAGTTGACTAGTTGTGACAGAGATGGTGTGGCCTGCAAAGCGTTAAACATTAACCACCTGCCAGGCAGCAGAAACAATCTGCTGAGTGACCCCTGGTCTGGGTACTAACCTCATTCACCTCAGAGCTGGGATATGACACATTTCCCAAGGACTCTTCCGTATGTTGTTAGGGGCCACCTAGTCGAGACCCACTCACAGACACCCTACAAAGGCAGAATAGAACTATCTCATAAGGTTTTCTAGGTCGCAGTTTTTACAGGAGCAGACTGCCATGTCTTTTCTCCCACGGAGCTACTCGTGGGTTTAACTTACCAACTCTTTGGACATCTGGTTAGCAGCCACCCTTATTCTGACAGACCACACAGACCCTGGTATCTGACAGACCACACAGACCCTGGTATCATCTATCTTCCCAGATTCTAAGTGGATTGGGTCACTTTGTTGCTGCAAAACCTCCCCGGCATGCCCTCATCTGAAAGTGAGTGCTGAATCCCCAAACCTGAGCCTTTGTCACACTCCCTCTGCAACGTTTGGACGTAGCCACAATCGTCCTCTATTGCAGTGAGACCAGTGATACCCGGAACGGGATGGGGCTGCCTTGTTTCCCCAGGACAGGCAACTTTTCTGCCTTTCGCAATGCAGTCTTGACATTTTTCTATCACTCTTTATTTGTGGAATATATTTGAGTTTTCCTTCTCTGATGGGTTTCTCTGTATACAGGTTTTACTGGACTTAATTCCTGTTTTTTATTGTATACTCTTTTTTTATTTTTAAATTGTGATTTGGGTGAAAATTTACAGAGCGAATTTGCTTTCCATACAGCAGTTCACATACACTTTGTCTCACGACATTGACTACAATTTACCCCAATGCAACAGCTCCCCTCCCACTTCCTCCCGATAGTTACTTCTTCCCTATGTCCATCCCTCCATGCACTCCTGCCCCCTGAGCTGTCTCCCTATGCCTAAACAGCCCTTCTTTCTCCCATGATTGATCTCTCCAAGGAGTGTATCCACCTCAGGTAAATGTTCAACTCATATGCCTGTCTTTTGTTTAAACTCATTTGTAAACTGAAATTAGAAAGACACTACATCACCACCCAAAAGTAGAGTTATCAGTAATACCTGCCACGACTAAAAGATAACGCTACAAAATAAACATGATGAAAACCTACCATATGTCTACTAATGGCTTATGTTGCCGCGTGAAAAAGAAGCTGGACAAATATCGGAAGCATTAAAGACGCATCAGCACCACACAGAGCTTCTTCTCCAAGATTTAACCAGCAGACAGAGTGTGAAGTGAGACGGGACCTGCTTTTTCAATGACTGGTTCAATGGGATTTAATGCCAAATTCACATTCTCCCTAAAACCAACATGTATCACTCTTTCCTACCCCTCCCCATCTGAATCTGACTCACTCTCCGAGGCCTACCCCATTCAAGAAACCTGCTCCAACCACCCTAACAAAGGAAAACAGTCAACATGTAGAAACAAAATTGAATTTCTCTTTATCTGGCAGAGAGAAGATGCTGGAGCCAAGGTGCCAGACGCAAACCTTGAATTAATGCACACTTTTCCTCAACAGGGAAGGCACCTTCTTGAGGCCTTTTGGAAGGACCCAAACTTTGTTTCAGAGGGTGGAGGATAAAGACCCTTTGGGCTAGAAAAGAAGAACTCAAAGCCCATAGAGAGAAAGGCCAGGAGTTAGCCTGTGAAATTCCTCCAACAGCTTACCAGGTGATTCCCTGACAGAAGAGAGGTTTTTATAAATAGAGCGCCCACCTAAGATTATTTCTCAAAAAGCTCAAGTGACATCATCCACCAAACAGGAGGCTGGGACCTCAAGAACCAAACTCTGCATTGTCTCACTGACTTCCTGAAGGCAGAAGGACAGCCTGGTCCACATGGGCATCTTCTAGTCCAACCCCAGGTCAGCAAAAGAAGCCTTTGTCCAAATAAAATTTTATATGGAACCCCAATAAATCAAACAAATAAAGGTAAATACTGATCCATTTAGAGAAGTCCTGAAAGCCGACTTGTCCAGCCACTCCCTCTGCCCTCACTGACCCACCTAAGGCACCTCCAAGGATCGCTAAGGAGTCATACCAAACCGGTGGTCATCTAGGTGATTCCAACTCATAGTGAGTCTACAGGACAGAGTCGAATTGCCCCACAGGGTCTCCAAAGTTATAATCTTTAAGGCAGCAGAAGGCTAGGCCTTTCTCCCATATAGCAGCTGGTAGGTTCAAACCACCAGCCTTTTGGTTAGCAGCCAAGTGTTAACCACCGCACCACCAGGGCTCACTAAGGATCCACCAGAACCAAAAACCAGATTCACTGCCATCAAGTCGGATATGACTCACAGCGACCCCTCCTTGGGTTTTCAAGGCGGTATCACTATGGAAGTTAATTGCCCAATCTTCCTTCCAAGGAGTGGCTGGTGGGTTTGAACTTCCAGCCTTCTGGTTAGCAGTCAAATGCCTTAGGCACTACAGTAGCTTGAAAACAACTTAAAGAGCTCCCCCTGGCACAATGGCTTCCCATTTGCCCATGTGCAATATGAAAGGGTCATTCACCCACAAGGGGGCAACATACCAGATCCTTGGTTGGAGCCTAAGAGAATGGAGGAGGGCGTCTCCCTGGAGCCAGAAAGGTCGAGGGTCTAGAAATACAAAAAGAGAGGAAGAGATGGACTCAAGGCACTGGGGCCAATTCAGCCCCCCAGAGAAGCCTCAGGACCCATGGACTGCTCATCATTGCCCCCAAAGCATCTTAGCGTCTTCTGCCTGGCAGGGTCACACAGGGGTGACCAGGTCAGCTAGGATGGCCCACACCTTGTGCTCAGTCTCCCACACGGAACAGGCGGAACACGGCACCCTTTACCCAACCCTACAGTCTCAGCTTCTACAACATTCACTTTTCCCCCAAACTTCACTCACTGACCTACCAATTCTCCAGATCTTCACCACATACAAGAATGAAGTAAACCAAAGCACACCTGTTGCTGTCAAGTCAATTCTGACTTAGAACAACCCTACAAGACAGAGTAGAACTGCCCCGTATGGTTTCCAACTGCCCCATAGGGTTTCCAACTGCCCCACAGGGTTTCCAAGGCTATAATATTTACAGAAGCCAACTAACACATCTTTCTCCCACGGAATGGCTGGTGGGTTCAAACCCCTGACCTTTCAGTTAACAGCCGAGTGCTAAGTCACTGCGCCACCAAGGCTCCATGAATGAAATACACTATCTTAAAATTATACCAGTTCACTTTTATTTCACATTAGCCTTTTCCTAGGCATTAGTATCAGTGAAGTTAAAGGCTTGATAGGCTAATGGTTCATTTTTTTTCCTAACACACACTGAAATACACACATGCATAACGGCTAAAAATGTGAAAGATAATCAACGTGCCACCTAAAATAATTTCTTTCTACAAACGATGTTACATACATAAACCATTCACTGGGAAACCAGGAGGTGCAACTTTTCATTGTTCTATCTTTGCCACTCAATATGACAGCCACTAGCCACCTGTGGCTATTTAAATTAATTAACATTGAAAAAAAGAAAAACTGAGTTTCTTGGTCATACTAACTACAACACATGACTGGTCGCTACTTACTGGACAGAGCAGCTACACACATCCATCATCACAGAAAGTTGTACTAAACAACAGTGTCCTCTGAGAGTCCCTGGAAAGGGTGATGGGGAACAACTGGCAATTGGCACAAATGCAGACTCAGGCTTCCTGTTCCTCTGCCCCTGCATACACAACCACTGGAAGCCTGGCAAGCTGGTAAGAAGGAGCCCCAGAAGACTGTGGTGCCACCTGCAGTCTGACTGTCCCATCTTCAAGATAAACAAACCACAATATGGCATTTTCAGGGGTGGCAGGTATGGGGAAGGGTTCTGAGACTCTGCTTGGAACCAAGGGATGATGTCACTGGTCCAAGGCATCAGGATACTCACGGAGCCACTGTCCTTGCTCTTCTCAGCTGACGTCTCCTTCTCTTTTGAGGCGCTGGCTGTTTCCGGAGGGGCTGACTGGGTACTGGAGGAGCTACCCTGGGATGACTTATTTAGTGTTTCCGGGTTCACCTCGGCATCTGCTTCCTGCTGAGGGGCAGTAGCTGGGGATGCACAGGGAAGAGAAGCCACATATTTAGTCAAGCCCGATGGTTTCTGGTCCTTCGTGCAGGGCTGCATTGTACCAACTCTGACTCAACCGAGATCCACACAGGAAGGGCAGCTGCTCCACCCACCCGGGCCCTGAGCAGGCCTGCTGTGGACAGAGCACAGGAGTTTTCCACTAGCTGGAACTGCAGACGGTACGTGAAAACATGCAGGTTTTTAATAGTTGGCAACTCACAGTTTAGAAAATGCCCCTAGAGACCAAAATATGTTTACAGAACAAATGAAGGCCACCAGCAAAAGGAGCCTGGAACTGCGGAGTGAGAATCACTCTATTTCATAGTTTCTAACTTTAGATGTATGTGAGCACCCTGTGGATTTGTTCCTGAGGTGGGGCTAGCTAGGGACGAGTGTAACTGTGCCTCAAAGAAAGGAAAGCCAAGAGACGGTCTGACATTCTTGAAATGTCAGCAAATGGGTCATGAGACACCTGCCAAAACCTGAGGAAGACAAAGGAACTGCAAGGAAGGGTTAAAATCACTGTGAAAAGACATCTCCCCCAAAGCAGGTCAAAGAACATGCATGGCTGTTCCAATACTGCCTTAAAAAATAGTAACAACAGATCTGTCCAGACAAAGAGTCACAAAACTTCCTGCTACCTGTTTTGGAAATAAAGTTTTATTGGAACACATTTACTTATTACCTGTGGCTGCTTTTAAATAGAGCTGAGTATCCTAAGACAGACCCCATGGTTCACAAAGCACTGGCTCTCTGGCCCATTACAGAAAAGGCATGCCAACCTTGGTCTAGAGCAGTGTTTCTCAAACTTCGGTCACCACACATTGCCTCTCCAAATTTTGCTATTTTGCATATACCGCCTGCTGCATTATTTATGCAATGCTTTAAGTAAATTATTTCAATTGAACTCGGCCCTGCTGGTGTAACAGTTAAGCTCTCAACTTCTAATGGAAAGGCCAACAGTTTGAACCCACCCAGTGGCTCCATGCAAGAACGACCCAGCTGTCTGTGTCAGTAAGACTACAGCCTAGAGAACCCCATGGGGAAGTTCTCCTCCATCCCGTGGGGTCACTAGGAGTTGAGAGCAACTAAACAGCACCTATCAGCACCATGTGCTGTGAACAGAAGCTAACTGAGAAATGTAATTAAAAGGGTAACTTCTATTAACAAATTCTAACCAGAGAGCATTCCCTAAGGCCTGCTTGCTCTCTGTTGGAAAGACAGATCACAAATATTACAGTGCTATCCAAACACACTAGATTCCACACCGAGACTCTGTCCTCAACATAAGAATTGGAAACCTGTATTATTTAAACCTACAAGTCCATTATTACGTAAAAAGCCAGGTGTCTCAACCTCAGCAGTATTGACATTTGGGGCTGGATCATTTTTGGCTGGGGTGGGGGCAGGGTGTCCTATGCACTGAAGGCTGTGTAGCCCATTCCCAGCCCCCCATGTGACAACCACAAATGTCTATGACATTGGAGACATCCTCTGGACAGCAAAACCACCCCAATTGAGAACCACTGCCTAAAAACAACCCGTATCACATCTCCATCATCTGACCAGCCATGATGCAAAGAGGAGAGGATCAAAGAGCTGGAGCCCCGAGTCTATCAGCTGTGCCTGCACACCTCTCTCGGGCACACAACGCCGTTACTGACAAGTGAGAGTGAGCAGGGGCTGGACACACCACCCCTGCCACGCGTTGGCTCCTCCGCAGCTCTGGCGGCGTTTACCTGACTGAGTGCAGGACTTCATGTGCTCGGGCCAGTGGGCCTGCTGGCAGGGGTAGTCACAGTAGCTGGTGTTCCAGCAGCAGTAGAAGATGGCTTCCTTCTTGCAGTTGGCGCACCACTGCTTCTTCTTGGTCTCGTCCACCGCCTGCTGCTTCTCCAGCTCAAGCTGCTTCTTCACCTCGGCGATGAGCCGGTCGCGCTCCTGCTCCAGGCTCTGCCTCATCTCCGCCATGGTCAGCTCTGCCAGGGGAGGAGGGGCACACTGGCTTTCTCACCTGTCCCCCGGTCCAGGGCGATTCACACGGAACGCACACGAGGTGGGTTCAGACTGACGCGGGTGTGAACCCCAGCTTGGAATGCTTCCGCTGTGCAGCCTGGGTGAGTAACCTAGCGATTACCTCCCCAAGCACCACGGCTTCCAGTGTAACACGCACCCCCACTCACCTGAACTGCCCATGACAATCCCTCAAGTGCCCAGGAGGACTAGAAGTGGTGTTTGTGAATCTAAAACTATATACTGTGGGAATTCACACCCGTGGAATGGAACGCTTTTCACAGAAACTCACTTTGACTTTCATCATTAACATAAGCTGTTATTTTTGTATCAACCCAGTACTACAAGTGCTGTACGCAGGGGCTGCTCTAAGTGCTTCATAAACATGAACTCAGTTAATCCTTCTATAATCCAGGAGGTAAGTGCTACTATTATACCCCTTTCCCAGCTCCTGAGGGAAGAGCTGGGGCTAGAACCTGCCTTCTTATATAACAGGTCTACGAGAGAGGGCCTCAGGGTTGATCATTATGTTAACAAGACAACTATCAAAGTGCTTGAGTGCTTGGTCCCCTGAGATGTCTGAGTTTACTGTAAACAGTAAGTCCATTTGCAGTTCACCTGGGAGCAAGTCCATGGAACAGAATGAATGAGCCTTTTAGCAGCAACTTATATAGAGAAATAAAAGGAAAATAAATGTCCCTTAAAATCCCTTTCCTGAAATTAAAAAAAAAAAAAATCCAAATTCTCCCCTCAAAAAACAAAACATACAGTAAAAAAATATTTTACCCTTTTCTAAGGAAAAGAGAGAGGGAAAAAAAAAATCCACTTGTGGTCATGAAGAACCTTTTAGCAATCATACCAAAAAAAAAAAAAAAACCCACTGCCATCAGTCCATTCTGACTCATAGTGGCCCCTGTTGGGTTTCTGAGGCAGTAAATCTTTAAATTAGTAGATTGCCCAGTCTTCCTTCCGCAGAGTAGCTAGTGGATTTGAACCTCCAACCTTCCAGCTGGCAGTCAAATGCCTCAGGCACTACACCACCAGAGCTCCTTTTTAGTCATCACAGCTGCCTTTACATTGGGGCCTGTAGAGCAGGAGAAAAAGGAACTCTGGCAGCCCAAGGCATTTGACTGCTAGCCAGAAGGTTGGCAGTTCAAACCCACCAGTGACTCTGTGGTAGGAAGACTGGGCAATCCACTTCTGTAAAAATTTACTGCCTCAGAAACGGAAAGGGGGTTGCTATGAGTCTGAATCGACTGATGGCAGTGAGTTTGGTTTTGAGAGTGGGATACAAATGTGGAACAAAACCCAGAATTATAAGAAAAAAGACCAGGTGAGCTGCTCTGATAGAGACTGGTGAAACACCTGAGACTACGGCCCCGAGTCAGGAATTGAACTCACTCCCGTGGCTTAACCTCTAGCCAAAGAACAGACAGGCCAACAAGGTGAACAATTACAAGGGCGGTGCACTCCTTAGAATGATTAACCATGGGGGATCGATTAATCATGGGGGATTGAAGGGTAGCATCTGCACAGGGAGAGAGCTCAGAGGCAGGAATGCACAGGAGAGGACTCAGGGAAGAGGTAACCACAGGGAAGAGGTAACCACAGGGAGGGAAGTGGGAAGAGAGCTGTTACACTGTGGGAACTGCAATCAATGTCATGAAACAAAATGTGTGTAAACTATTGAACAGAGAACAAATCTGCTATGTAAACTTTCATCTAAATCACAACTAAAAATAAAATAAATCGGAGCTTGCAGAGCACAGTAAGTTCTGGCCAGGCTACGTGTTTTGTTTAAATGTGCAGCCAGCATTTAAAAATGGAGAGATTCCACATACCACTAGATTGCTTGACTTATAAATCTTTACAGAAGCAGACTGCCTCATCTTTCCTCCACAGAGCAGTGGGTGGGTTCAAACCACCAACCTTTGGGTTAGCAGTCAAATGCTTTAACCACTACACCACGACTGATGAAGCTGAGAGACACTGAGGGGCTTTCTCCACAGTGCAGGAGGCACAGAAGTGCTTAAGTATTTGTTAAAACACCCAACGTCCAGCAGTTAAGATGGGAAGTTGGGAGCCAGGGTGCGAGAGCTTGAAACACAGCTGTGTGACCTCGAACAACTTGTTTAATCTGCCTGTGCCTCAGTCTGTTCTCTTGGAAACTTGGGGTAACAGAGCCCTATATCCTAAGGTTTCTGTAAAAATGAAATTAGTTAATTCATCAGAAAGCACTTAGACTCACTCCTGGCACTCAGTAAGAGCCTAGGAGTAGGAGTTATAGTACTGTTACTATTTTGGCTTGATGCTGGGTTTTCGGTTTTTTTAAAAAATAAGTATTTTGTGTTTTTGATGAAAGTTTACACAGCAAGTGAGGTTCCCATTTGACAATTTCCACACAAATCATGCGGAGACATTAGTTACTTTCTCACAACATGTCAGCATTCTCTTAATTGTGTTCTGGTTGTTCTGACACAGGTATTTCAGAGAGAGGAAATGGGGGCTCCCACCAACACCTGCTTGACGTGCTGCAGGAGTCTTTGTCTCCCGAAAAGATGAACACCCCATGAAGCCTCACGGCCACTCCGTTCACATCTGGGCCTGACTCAGAGGTGCAAAGACCACACCCAACCCTTGCCTAGGATGGTCCATCCCAGTGGGCCCTCCCCAGGTGGGCCTTCCCAGGTGAGCCCTCCCCAGGTGGGCAGGTGGGCTCTCCCCAGGTGGCCTTACCTAGGTTATGCTTCATTTCGGAGAGTTCCTGCTGATGCAGCCACTGGAGCTTTTCTATCTCAATCCTCAGCCTTCGGATCTGAAACGAGGGACAGTAAGACAAAGCTAGTCGGGGAGGTGCCCGGCAGAAACTCAGCATCCATGGGCTGCAAGGGTTGTGACGGTCATGCTGCCAATCAAGGAAGCACCTGGGCCAACCTTCCCACAGTCGAGTTTAGAGCAGTGGGTGCCCAGCTTTGTCCCAAATTTGTGGGAAATACTGTCTCAGAAAACCAAGTACAAGTAGTCCATCTTTTCCAAAGAGTACTGGCACCAGGAAAAACCATTTGAAATGAAAACACAGACAAGACTTTCATAAAATTATGGCATTTGAAAAGGACTTTAGTTTAAAAAAAAAAAACTAAAATAAACACTGGCTTATTTTCTCTCTTTAACATATACAGGAAAGGAGCTCTGGTTGTGCAATAGTTAAAGCATTTGGCTCCTAACCAAAAGGTCAGTGGTTTGAAACTATCACCTGGATCCATGGGACAAAGATGGCACCAGTTTGCTTCTGTAAGGACTTACAGGTATGGAAACCCTATGGGGCAGTTCTGTTCTGTCCGACAGGGTCAGTATGAATCGGAATCAACTCAGTGGCAATGGGTTTGGTTTAAAGGGTTTAACATACTGGCAGCCTCCATACCATCCACCTGAAATTCAGAAAGCCCAACACTTCTGAAAACCAAGGGTATGTTGGGGGCCTGGGGTAAATTTGGGGCCAAACTCAAATGAATGGGAAAGGAAAATAAACTCAATCTAAACTGATATGAGGCAACTGACAGTGTTTATCAGTGGTTCTCAACTGGAGGAAACTGCACCCTCCCCCCAGGGGACACTGTTAATGCCTGTGAGACATTTATGGTTGTCACAACTGGGGGGGGGGGTGCTACTGGCATTCTCATTAGCGACTCAGGATGCTGTTAAACATCCCACAATGCACAGGCCAGCCCTCCACGACAAAGATGTATCTGGTCTAAGATGCTCACAGTGCCAAGTGGAGACACTGTGACTTAGTGAGAGTATCATGTACTTCACTGTCATCTCACTGTGGGGAAACGACTACATGGTCCCTAAAAGGGAAAAAAAAAAAAAAATCTGGCAGACCTTTGGACTCCAGGGCTACAGATGCAGCATTATGGAGCCGTGCTTCCAACCATATGCTGGCTCTTAAATGACAAAAATGAAGGAAGCATGGTCAACGGTGGCAGACTTTTCTGAAGCAACATTGTTTACTGCTTGTTTGACATCCCAGCCCAATCATAAAAACGGTCATATTCGCAAACCTATTCAAGGGCACCTCAGTTATCCAGTGCTGCTGTAACGGAAACCCCACAGTGCGAGGCCTGAACAAGCAGAAGGTTATTTTCTCAGTTCAAGAAGGTTAGAGGTTGGAATTCAGGATGCTGGCTGGAGGAAGGTTCCTCTGTGTGGGGTCCCTGGTAATATTCAGGTAGCACCGCACCTCTCTCCCCCCTCCCATCTCTGCTTTTGCTGAATTTGTTTCTTCTCGGATCTCAAAAGAGATAGACTGACTCAAGACAAACCCTACACTAAAACTGTCTCATTAACAGAACAAAGCAAATCCATCGCCAAATGGCATAACCACAGATACAGGGGTTCAGATTCACATCGTGTATTTTGAGGGACACAATTCAATCTATAGGAGAGGGGACTCCTCCATTTCTCTCTGAGGCTCTCTGAATCCTTTCTATTTGAATAAAAGACAATCTTCTTTCAAGTGCTCTTCCTGATAGAAGAAAGCTCCCCAAATGATCATCTCTTCTTCTTGGAGTGCGGTCTAACCCTGTCGGGTCCTCATTGTCAAAGACTTTCCGTGGTTTTCCCAGTTCTCCAACATAACGTTCAATGACATCAAGAAATCCTGCCACCTGCCCTTTGCACTTAGCTTACGTTGTACTGTCCACACCAACAACCCACAGGCGACCTACTTACCACACCTCCGCAGTAAACAAGCATAAGAGGAAGTCCTGTGAAGTGCACTTTTCTAAGTGGTGTGTCCATGGGTAGATATTTTAATATATTTTGTTCAAACAACAAAGATTTACTCCTTGCTCATAGTACACGACCACTGAGGGTCAACAGGGTGTAATGTTTTAACCACTTTCTTGCGTGGGTAGTCACATAATTGTGGAGACTTGAGTATACACATACTCTGATAATAAGGATCATCTGTATAAAAAAGTCCCAATTCATGGAGAAGATTAAGGAGCCAGTTTTATATGAAGCAAAAAGAACCGGTAGCCACAGTCACCAGTGAGCTCCCTCTGAGTCTGACTTGACTCTTAGTTTACTCAACTAGAATTGAATTTATCAGGGTTTTAAACCACTTCATTCTGGTTCAACCCCTTGCTGAGAATTTTCCTTTCCACTCCAGACACACTGAATCAGAATCTATTGCAAAAAAACACCCTCAGATGATTCTTCTAGATCCTATGTACACCTAAGAACCACCTGCGGACCTTGTGAAAATGTAGGTTCTGATTGGGCCTATCTGGGGTGGAAGGGCAAATTCTCAGCAGGTGGTCAAACCGGACTGAATCGGTTCAAAGTCCTGGGATTTATCACATAAAGCAAGGTGCATCTCCCCAGCCCCAGCCAAACTGCTAACTGAAGAAACACCTTCCCCAACCACTAACATCAACAGAGCCGGCCTGGAGCGTGGAAGACTTCCAGAACAGCTTCTCATGGCGCCATCTTTCTAGCAGCCCATAAAACACCTTAGCAAATAAGGAATTAATGTGCAAGCTCTGACCTCGGCTATTGTGCTTCCAGTAGTGTTTTTTGAAAGATCGTTATATATTTCTGTCATTGTTCCTTTTATTGCATCCATCATCTGAAAGACAAAAGAACAGAGACAATTCAGGTGATAGATTCCCCGATGCTATTCTAGATGACACTGCAAGTATACTCTCCCTGGGATATTCGGCAGTGTCCAGACATTTCTGGTTGTCACAACTAGCGGGGCAGGAGGGTGTCCTGATCACATCTAGTCAGCAGAGAGTAGGGATGTTGCAAAAAATCTTGCAGTACACAGGACAGCCCCACAACAAAGAATTTCATGGTCCAAAACGTCAGCAGTGCCACAGTTGAGAAGCACTGGTACAAAGCACGGGGTCAGAATCACAGTTTACACCCTTGAAGCTGTTTTCTCCAGTTTGAAGCTTAAACTAGAGAGTCAGAATTTGGCCCCATGTGTTGGTGGATCAAGGGAATGATTTTCCTTCGTTCATTTTTTCCTTAAAAGCAAAAAATGCTTGAGATATAATTCACATACAATCCACCCATCTGAAGTGTACAATTCTGTGGTTTCAGGACATTCTGATGGTGCATCCATCACAGTTCCCACCCCACCCACCCTGTAGCCATCACTCCCCAGGGTCTGCATCTGCTCAAGCCCTAGCCAACCACTAATCTACTTTTGGTCTCTACAGATTTGCCTATTTTAAACATTTACATAGATGGAATCCTATTATATGGAGTTCTTTGTATGGTTTCCTTCTCACGGCTCATTCATGTTGTACGTATCAGTATTTCATTCCTTTTATTGTTAAATGTTATTTCCTCATATGGATATAGTTGGTTTGTTATTCTAATGCCTTTAGTCAGGGCACAGGAGCCCTAGTGGCACACTGGTTAAAGTGCTTGGCTGCTAACCAAAAGATTGGTGGTTCAAACCCACCAAAAGATTTACAGCTTAGAAATCCTATGGGACAGTTCTACTCTGTCCAACAGGGTTGCTGAGTTGGAATTGCCTCAATGGCATTGACTTTGCTTTGGTTTGATAGTCAAGGCACTGCCTCTCCTACTTGGTTCCCCATCTTCCTTTTCTTTAATTACCTGGCTCTCGGAAGCATCAGTGAGTTTGTGAAATCAGTTCAGTACATGCGACAGGCACCTGAGTATTTGTTTACTGAATGTATTCGCTGGATGATTTTTTTCCCTCCCCTCTGGGCTATCACAGGAGAAAGAGGTAAAAAGAGACCAAAGCAAATCCCAGCACGGACCAACTTCCCTTTGCTTTCCAGTCTGCTCCAATTAAGAAGACAGGATGAAGAATGTCCCTTATCTAATGCCTCAGATTCATTCCCACTGTTTCCTCTGTGGATTCATATGCTCCAAGCCTCAGCATCTCCATTAGAAAAGGAGGATTCTAATTATATGCCCACCTCGCAATGTATGTGTAAGGAATAAATGAGAAAATCACATGAAAACTCTGGTTCAAGACCTGCATCGGAGAAGGTGTTCTTCAAGAAGTATCTGTTGTTCTTATTTGTTCAGAAGAAAAAGTGAGCATGTAACTAATATCAAAACGCTTCACCCCTCAAAAAAATAAACACAAAACCTAGCCCCAAATGGAAGTAAAGCGAATGAGAAGACCTGCTGAGATTTCTGCTCCTGGCTTGCTGCGAGGGCAACATGGGAAACTTCCAGCAAAAATATGCTGTGCTGAGGGTTCCCTGCTGGCCTTCTCTGTGGGCCTCCTTTTCCAAGTGCACTCCGTCCCCTGAAAAGCTTAAAACCAAAGTGCTTTACAAGAAAACTTTAGAGAGCAGATGTAACTCAATATGTCGCTAATGCAATGGTTGCGTTCCATTTTAAAGAAATCATGAATTTGTGGACTGACTTTTACATCCAGATATAGCAAAGCACTCAACATTAATAAGCAGCAGCCTTCTACGAAAACACACAAATCAGGGTCTTCAACGCTGGGTCTCCTCAGAGACAGGAAGGTTCATCAGCTCCATAGAATGTCACCATATGCGTTTTCTGAACTACAAAGAAAAGTCTATCAAAAAGGTCTTTTCTCCATTTTGCTGGAAGAGTAAAGGGGGCAGTAGTGGGTCATGGAATAAAAATGGCTGCCCGAGCCCAGAAAAGCAGCTCGGTGCACAGTCACTGGGCAAGTCCACAGCCCTATCTCCTCACTTGTAAAGAAGAAGGTTTGAGCCAAGGCACTGGGGATGGTACAAGTGGCAACAACATCAAGTAGAAAAAGAGATGATTTAAGGTGATCCTAGATACCTCCTCAAATCACTCATGAAAATATTACCCCTTTCAATTCACTTTTAACCCTGGAGATCATGTTTCAAAGAAGTGTCAGTTTGGTGCTATTATCTTTAACACTGTCATGCAATCTCCCTTTTTAATAAAAGCAAATGGAACTGGGTCTGTCCTCAAGACTTCCTCAACAGCAAACAGCATCTGGTGAGGTTAAATTTCATTTAAGGTCTTTAGCTGAGCCCATTTAAATAAAAACAGTAAGTCGATTCCAGTTCAGGAGGTGAATGAGGCATATGCCCAGAGGGTGGACAAGTTGGATGAGGGGATAGGTGTCCCCCACAGTCTATCTTGGCTCATGGGTGAATGTATGTATCTTATCTTACAAATTTCATTTATAAAGATCTGTTGCTTTTGTCGCACAGAGCCCCCAAATGCAATCCCTTGGTCTGCTGATAAGGAGCTCTGGTGGCGTAGTGGGAAGGCATTTGGCTGCTAACCAGAAGGTCAGTGGTTCAAACCTACTAGCAGCTCCAGAGGAGGAAGATGAGACAATCCACTTTTGTAAAGATTAATAGCCTTGGAAATCCAATGAGGGTCGTTATGAGTCAGAATCAACTCAATGGCAGTGGGTTTGTTTTTTTCTTGGTCTGCTGTTAATGGAGGAAATAGTGGTTGACTCCACTATTTAAGGAAAACCTGTCCTTAATGAAGGATTTCAATTCTGAAGGTTCTTCTGTTTATGCACCATTTCAATTTATGTACTGACATCAGAATCTAAGCCCTCCTGGACCTTGGAGGGCTTTAGTTCACTCTCCATTCATCCAACATAGACCTAAATGAAAGACTCCTGTCTTGAAGATCCTCTGTAAGGACAAGCTCTTCCCCATGAAGTACCCCCCAAAGACCCACAAGGCTATGGCCCTGATGGTTCCCCATCAGGAAGCTGCTCCTTTGACTTCCCGCTGGGCACCTCCCATCTCCCGTGCTGCCTTCTACTCACTTTGCTAGTGTACTTGGCGATATCTGCGGCAACATCAGCTGAGGCAGTGGCAATAGGCAGGTCAGCATTGACTGAAGATGCAAGGGTGCTTGTGGACCCCGAGCTGGTGACCAAGGATGACGACTGTGTGCTGGTCACCAGGGTGATGGTGGACGTGGATGGACTCTGTGTGATCTCCTTCTGCTGAACGGCTGAAAAGCAAAGGATTCTGGTTACCCGAGTAGAGTGGAGCAGACCTGTCCCAGCAGAAAGCTGTGCCAAGGAAGTAAAGGCTCTGATACAGACCCTGCAAGCTTTTCTACTTTCAGGACATTCTGGATATTGAGAATTATACCATCAATGATCCCTTTCTTGCTAATACTTAAAATTCCACTGGGGAAGTCTCATAATGCTTATGGAGCATGGAGACCTAAGACTGGAACTGAGCCTCCCGATCTCAGACATCCTGGATGCAGCTCTGTCCCCACCACTCTTTCAATAGAAAGGTCAATTCAACTATTCTCCAATTTTGCCTCTACAATCTTTCAAAGACTCTTCCCTCTTTCCAGTCTTGGAAGGGATCCAAGATCTTGCTACCTTTCAATTTCATAACCTTCTTCTACTTATAACAGTCCTACCTACTATGGTATGCTCACTATGCAAGAGTTGCAATCAGGGTACCCACCCAACCTCCAAGGAGCTAGAAGTACGTTTCCTCATAGAATGACCTAGAGCAATGCTCACAAAAGCGAGGCAAACTGGTCCATATCAGTGCTTTGTGTGGCCTTACATCAGCTCCAGTTAGAGCCTCCAGGAGGGCCAAGAGGAGCTGCCATTTCACAACTTCAGCAGCTGGTTCTTGATGCTGGGCTCATTTTTTGAGTCTAATCCCTGCTAACCAGATGGCTGGCGGTTCAAACCCACCAGCCACTCCTCGGAAGGAAGGTTGGGCAATCCTACTTCCGTAGTGATACTGCCTTGGAAACCCAAGGAGGGGTCGCTATGAGTCGGGGCCGACTCGACGGCACATAACAACAACAACAACAACAATCCTTGCTTATTAAGGTGACTTGTACTACCATCTTTTCAACCTGTACTCTTTCCAAAAGAAGGCCAAGAGGTTCATTCATGTGCACAAAGAAGCTTACACAAAGATGTTCATTGTAGCTCTGTTTAAAATAGGAAAAATCTGGACAAAAACTCAATGCTCATCAGAAGGGGAATGCGTTAAATAACTCTGAAACAGTGCAGCAGGTTCAAAAGAATAAGGTAGAGCTGTATGTATGGACATGGACAGACCTCCAAAACATGCCGATGAGTGAAAAAAGAACTATGGTACCATTTTTACGTTTTTCAAAAAGAAAAATAGTAATATTTTATGGAGTCATAGAGATATAAATATATATGCACACACTTATAGCAGAATGTGTGGGAGTGTACAACAAACTGATAATAGGGGCCGCTCACAAAGGGAGCAGAATGAGATGGACGTTCAATAGGGACAAGAGATTGCTATGTAACTAGTTTGCCCCATTTAAAGGAGAATATATGCATGTACTGTTTATAAAATGGAGAAAAAAAAAAAGGTAATAAAAATTAAAAAGCAAATTGCAAAATAAGTTTTAAAAGCCATGCCACATGGAATGTTGAAGGCTTTTGGGATTCAATGGCCAGGATATAAATGGGTACTTTAAAAAAGAAAAAGAAAAATGAAACAACAATGATTTTTCTCCTGTGGATGTGGCAAAAAGGGAGCGGGCGCCACGGAGGAGGAGGGGCTCGGTACCTTTCACAGCCTGTCTGGTCTGATATCTCGTCCCCTGGGAAGACTGAGGCTGCTGCTGCTGGTTTGGCTGCTGCTGCTGCTGCTGCTGGCGCTGCATCTTCTGCATGTGCCACTTTTGGGAGGACGTTTGAAACTTACTTGAGGAGTTCCACACGACCCGCTGCACGGCTGGGGCAGTCTCCTTCGGTAAGAGCGGCCTCTGCTTTTTCACCGGGCTTCCCGTGGCGGCGGTGGCCGGGGCCGTGACTGTGGACGCCGTGCTGGTGGTGGCCGTGACACCAGCCGTAGGGGTTTGGGAGGAAGAGCGGGTGAGGACCGGCGTCTCTGGGGGAGACTGGCTGCCAGCCGCCGTGGTGGATGGTGGAGCTTTACCTACAACTAGAGCCAATGCGTAAGAGAAACAAACGAAAACTGGATTTGACTCGGGTTCAAGGGCAGAGTCTACGCCCGCAAGCTCTGGGTGAAGCCAGTCAAAGGCAGGAAGATGGACCAGACTTGGAGCACCCGATGGGACAGAGCACCTTCTGCCTTCAGCAGCATCCTGCCCTCCCCATCCCCCTTCCTAAGGTCCTCTCACCTCTGAGATATGAATTAAGGCTTCTGGGGGGAGTGAGGCAGACAAGACCCAGCCCTGCCCTCAAGGCTTTACCCATGAACTAGTGGATAAGGCAGATGAGCAATCCTTGTTTTCACAACTGAGATTTGGCAAGCACCTTGAGAAAGTCCTAGTCAAGTCACCCAGGGATTAAGAGAAACCACTGGGATAAGAACTGGTAGACCATATATCCCAAAGAACCAGATGGTTTCCCAAGATAGTCAAGGGGAAAATGGCCAAAGGATGGAATAACACTGCATCACCCAGAAAGGACAGTATCCCTCTCCACTTCCTGATTCCCTTGGGGACAAAGTCTCAGGGAAGCGTTCATGGTGTTTACAAACTAGTGCTAGCACTCGTGTTTTCCTCCCTTCCAACACAGGGCATGTGCTACAAGGCCCAATCTCCTGCAACATAATGCCGTTCATCTAGGATGTAGTCACATGGCTTTGTTTCCCAACCTCTACTTATTCCTGCCATCATCTTTTGCGGACAGCATAAAATCCTAGTTTTCCTAGTGTATGGTGATCAGGTTAAAGTCTCAAATGAGCTTACTATTTTTTAGAAGGGAGTTGATTAAAAAATACTAAATCAACAGCAATACAAAGCTGGACTTGGAAATGGCCAAACTAAAGGGTGTGACTGACTCAGGTCTGAAAACCACGGCCACATGGATTATGTCTTCTCGGAGGAGCTGGGCTATGATGGGCGGGCAGGAGTTCAACAGGCAGAAGTGAGAATGTGGAAGGGAACTGCATCAGCCGAGGCGTGTTTAGGCGAGTTAGGGCAGCCAGTGAGGAGTGGCCAGAAGGCAGGTTAGAGCCAGAAGCACTGAGCAGCTGAGAGGGGGCGACTGAGTCCTGGCTGAAAAAAGGGGGATCTGCCATCACTCACTGCAGAGGTTCCAGACACCAGTTAGGTGAACAGTTAGGTGAGTTCACCCCCCAGAACACACACAAAACACCAGTGCAAGTCAGGAGCCCTGACTTCAGAGGCTACGCCCTGCTATCATTCCCCTTAATGAACACTACCCCTGTCTTTTCAGATTAATATAATCCAAAGGAGATGAGCCTGATACTCCAGGGTGCACATTCAGTAAGTTAATG